TTTCTTTCATTAAATACCAAAACAAAGTTGAAATTAGTTTTTGAAAATAAAGAAAAAGAGTTTAATTCATATAACGTCAAAAAATTTTCAATCAATAAAATCATTCATTGTTTTACACAGCACACCTTATCCCTATGAGAAAATGTACCAAAATCCTAATGTTACTTCTGAAACCTTAAATCATATCTTACAGGATAAAGACTGCATGTTGGTCAAGGAGAAAAGACAGATTAAACCATGCAACTTTCATAGAGAAAATGAAAATCAACAGCAAGGTGGCATAAATGTTAAACACACATTGCTTTAAAATCACACACACACACATACACAGAGGAATTATAATTACATTGCAAACCATCATCTGTCATATTTTCTATTAGCTGGTGAATTTGTTATTAAAACTTTGAAGAGAAAAAAATTAATTTAATCTTTTTGCTATTTTAATCTGTAAGAAATAGCACCAGATAAAGCATTTGTTGCATATTAACAAATAGGTAGCTTCTTGTGCTTTCTATCCAAATTAGAAATAAAAATCCCAAGTAGTTATTTTCAATAATATTTAATTATAAAGTTATTTTAAACATCTACACAAAATCATTCCTTTCTTCAGCCAAATCCTGTATGAAAATACTAATATAGTGAAGATTCATGATATTGTGTGAAAATGGTGCCTCAGTAACAACGTAGACTCCACTACAGATTTTAATTCACATATATGTGTGTGTGTGTGTATATATTTGTGTGTGTATATATGTGTGTGTGTGTATATATGTATATGTATGTGTGTATATGTATATATATAATATATATATATATATATACACACACATGTGTGTGTGTGCCTTGTATATGACAACTGTACGAAAATAGTCTCAAAAATAAAGACAATACTTGAGACATGAAGCAACCCATTTTCCCTGATCTTGTGTACTATTACAGGGAAAATAAGTCTCTGATGCCTCATAAATACTCAAAAGTTTAGATGGCCTTAACCATGCATAGTCTTCACAGAAACACCCCTGGAAGCCTCCAGTGATTCAGGCTCTTGGAGAGCTGTGCCCAGTAGTCAATTATGCTAATTGTGTCCTATCTTGTCCAGATCTGGGAGTTTTCTGACCAGAGCCTGGTGGTTTATCCTGATGCTGGCAAGAAGTCCTCCTTCAATGCCGTCAGAACCAGTGTAACTGATTTCTTCACCGCTCAGGGTAGTCATGTGTCCCCCAAGGGCTTTTAAGATGGCATTGCCAGCACATATATCCCACTTCTTGATGTATGTCACATGGATATACAGGTCAGCTTTTTCTTGACTCTTATCTGGCACATCCAAGAGTGCCAAAACTTTATAACCTAAAATAACAAACAGAATTTCAGTTATTGCTTAAAAGATATTAAGAAAGTAGTATCTTTTGAGTATGTACAGTATTAAACATTAACAGCAAGGGTTAGCAGAAAGTTTCTATACTATTTTTGTACCTGCTTTCTATATCCAAATTTATTTTAAAAGACAAAGGATTTTAAACAGTAACAGCACAGACATTAAACTCAAATGAACAAAAATACGTTTCAAAAGAAGCTTATGAAGCACATCACTAGTATTGCCAAGTATATGCCTGTGATTTTTTTAACCTGTTTTCTGGTTTTGACTGATTTCTATAAAGTGAAACCATTTTCTACAGAATGACATACTGCACTGAAACTAAACTCTCATAATTTTCTCTTGATTATCTGAGAATGATTTAATGGAGCGAACACAATGTAATGGTATCTTAAATCCTCGTGTTAATAAGGTAGGCTTTAAACAATAAAATAATGAAAAAAAAAAAAAAATACAGAAGAAACTGGGTCTTTACTAACCAAACTAACAAAGAAACTAAGAAAATACTGAAGTCCTATTAAGGAAAGTAGATACATGCAACCAGCATATTAAAACTATTAGGCTTTATTTCTCCTTTAATAACTGTGTTGAAATGGTTTTCTGACCATAATTTGTATTTATCTGGATTAAAATGCATCTATCATGTTGAAGGAGCTCTGGTAGCGTAGTGATTACGAATCGGGCTGCGAACCAGAAGGTCAGCAGTCCGAAACTACCAGCTGCTCCGCGGGAGAAAGATGAGGCGATCTGCTCCCGTAAAGATTTACAGCCTCGGAAACCTTATTCAGGGTCGCTATGGGTCGAAACCGACTCAACGGCACTTAACAACAACAACAACATCATGTTGAAGGGAGTCCTGGTGTGGCACTGTGGGCTAATGCGTCAGACTGCAAAGTCATCTGAACTGCAAGATTGGTGGTTCAAGCTCACCAGCTGCTCCTTGGAAACTCTAAAACAGGATCGCTATGGGTCGGAATCGACTCGACGGCACTTAATAACAACATCATGTTGAAGAGCGTTCAAAATAGAGGTCAGCAAACAATAGCCCAGGAGACAACCCAGTCCCAGTCTCTTTCCCTCCAGCTTTCAAGCTAGGAATGGTTTTCACATGTTTAAAGAGTCGTAAAAAAAAAAACAGAGAATAATATACAACAGAGATTATGTGGCCCACAAAGCCTAAAGTATCCTTTTTTCAGAGAAAGACCACTGGCTGTCGACCTATAACATAGAAGCCACATTAAGTTGGGTAGGTAATAGACATCTTACTCTTCCCAGACATGCTATTGCTGCCTTGGGGCAAGCTGAGGAGTTCAGGGTGTTAAAAGTAACCCAGAGATTAGTCATTCTAAAGGCTCTGGGAGATTTCTGGAATCTTTCTACCATATAAAGGATTCTAATGATCTAGATCCTTCCTCATGTAACAACCCCCCAGTTAGACTAACAGAACAATTATTTTGTAATCACATTTATATGAAGCATTTGATAGCACACCACTGATGGGAAAAGACTTCTGTGCAATTCCAGGGAAAGGGCAACACTTGTGAGATGTCTCTTCTTACCAGAAGGCCAAAGTAAGTGAAACTCCACCTCAAGATTACCAAGTAGGAACCAGGTATGCCTTTACAGGACCTTCTCTATTCTCAATCTCCCATCAAACTTAAAAGTCTCCTAACACAAGACTTGACCACTCTGGAAACACTCATGGAAGCAGAAGGGAGTGGAAACATACCAGCACCACCAGCAGGAATAATTGTAGTCTGGTTTCCAAAAGTCTGAAGAGCCACCTGTTTGACCATTCCGGAATGGGACCTGGACACAACGATCCTTGGGGTCTTCTCATTGTAGGAAGTGCGGGATTTCACATTTGAACCACCATCTACCATTGCCCACGCTGAAAAGCAAATACCCTTAATAAGTTTAGGAGTGTCAAATGATTAATCATATCCCCTAGAATATGTGTTGTAAATCCTAACCTCTGGAATACAAAATACCATTCTTCTTGGTATTTTGGACTTACCTTTACTAACCAACCTAACAGAAAAACTGTAAGAAAATAAGATTCCATTTGGGAATAGGACTTAGTTTATTATGTCATTGAGGTCCGAATGGTATAGTGTATTTTGAGAGATCAAGAGAGTATATTAGGCATAGAAACAAGGACGCACAGAATAGGGAAAACTGATGACACCTGGAGAACCCAAGGAACTGAGGAAGAGAAGCTGCAAGACAATGATTTTCCCCAGAATAGATAGAACCTTCCCTCAGACCTGGTATCCTGAATTCAGACTTCTAGCTTCCTCAACTGTTGAGACAATAAACTTGTTTGTAAAAATCAACCACTTGTGGTATTTATACTACAGCAGTATCAAAAGAATAGGACAGGAAACACTGTAGTTTTTAAAATGAGAAGTTAATCTTCAGAAATGAAAAGGACTCAAGTATTTGTTTTTACACCCAATCGGAATACTTTATATTTTTCTGAATACAAAAGCATTGCAATAGGTTATGTATTAATATAAATTTTAAAAATATCGCACATAATCTTATCCAGCAAGACAACGATTACTCAATTATTTGACTTACGAGCTCCCAGGCTCCTGAGCAACCTGTAAGGTGACTGCATTGGAACTGCACTATAATTCAACTTCTGCACCCAGTCCCACTTTCTTCCCTCCATTCCACACAGAGCACTCCTCAATACACAGCTTGCATGCTACTCTCCATCTCAGATGCTATCTCCCAGGAAATCAAACCTATAATATGGAAATTCACATAATGAAAGAAACTAAAAACAAGAAAAGTCGTGATCACTGCAGAAGCCAGATTAAATCACAGGCTACAAAACGGAGAAAACCAGATGTGCCCAATGTGCTTCAATGTGCTTCTAGCAAACAGCTGGAGCATAGTGGCCAGCAGAATAAGCACTTAAGCCTGCAAACCATAAGATTGACAGTTTGAGCCCATGAGCTGTTCCCAAGGAGAAAGATAAGGCTTCATGCTTCAAAAAGATGTACAGCCTCAGAAACCCTGTAAAGAGTTGCTATGAGTCAGAACCAAATCAACAATGCTTAACAGCAGCAAACAATCATAAAAGCAAAGAAAAAGAAACAACAAACAAAAGATACAAAAGAAAGAGAGGGAGAGATATGGAAGCCAGTAACAGATGTCTGAGACAACATAATGTAATAGCAACATATAACTAACCTTTAAAATAATGACTCAAGAAAACATTTGGGAAATAAAGGAGGACATGAGGGAATAAACTGTGTGTGCACCTAGGAAATGTGTCCAGAATGGTTACTCTGAGATATATCATAGTTATGCTATTATACTTTCAAGATAAAGCCTTTTGGCAACCTATGCAAAAAGACCAAGTCATTTAAAAAGGGACAACCAAGTTATTATCACTATTTTTTGCCAACAAGATTCAAAATACACACACAAACAAGTTCAACAACTTTTAAAAGCAATTAAAAAAAAAAAAAAAAGGGTGAAACAGATTCATTCAAGTAGTCTTTCAAGTATACTATAAAAAGGTTTCAAACACCCTTTAAGATGCAAGTAATATTACATCAATCAACTAGCTCTTCTTGAGAAATCTATTAGAGGACAAGCTATCCAACTAAGAGATGACTGGAGAGAACTCAGCAAGAGAACTGTTATTTGCAATCGGATAATTGAGAAGAAGAAAAAGAAAATAAGCTAATTTTAATGTTGCTTGTAGTAGAGATTTAACAGTCTGTCTACAGAAAAAAATAACTTCATAAAGATATATAAAGAAAAAGAACACATAGGGAATTAGAAAAAGTGAGAACACATTTAACTAAAAAACAAGTAAAAAAAAAATAATTGTCTGAAATACATTAAAAGCGATGTGGAATAGTCTTGCCTTTCTATTTCTAGTAAGAACTACACTTCAATGTAAACAAATTAACTTAAGTTGATGGAGAAAGTTCTCTATAAGCCAGTCAATACAATTAGAAGAAACAACAAAATTTTTAAATCACGTATTACCTCTAGTAGATCTTAAAACTACTATGTAGTAAAAGGTTTAATAGAAATAGATCTCAAAGGATGCCAAAACCATAGATTAATTTCTGTAAGTGAAATGGGGGCATTGAAAAGATTTCAGCTTAGCTTAAAAAGTAAAATAGGAGTTCTGGTGTGGTAATGTACGATAAGCATTGGAATGCTAAGAACAAGGTTAGAGGTTCAAACCCATCAGCCACTACTCAGAAACCCTATATAGAGTTGCTATGAGTCAGAACTGACTCAATGGCACTTACCAACAAAAGTAAAATGGAATCTGAATAGCCATCTTATAACAGTTTTTGTTGTTAGGAGCCATCAGCACCAACTCATAGCGACCTCATGCACAAAAGAATGAAACTCTACCCAGTCCTGCACCATTGCTGCTGCTACTGTGCCTCTTTTTCTCCGACACTCCACTTTACCAACATGATATCCTTGCTCCAGTGACTGGTCCCTCCTGATAATATGTACCAAGTATAAGGGACAAAGTCTGGCCTTCCTGGCTTCCTAGGAGTATCCTGGCTGTACTTCTTCCAACACAGACTGGTTTGTTCTTTTGGCAGTTCATGGTGCTTTAAAATTTTTCCTACAACACCATAACTCAAATGCATCACTTCTTCAATGTTCTTCCTTATTCACTGTCCAGCTTTCACATATATATGAGGCTACTAAAAATACCTTGGGTATTTCAATAGCGCTTGGGTAAGGTGCACATTAATCCTCAAACTGACATCTTTGCTCTTCAACATTTTATCCTCCAGCGTTATACCAAGACTCCAGCAGGTGACTTAGAATCTATTTCTACAGTTACCATTCTAGCAAACCAGGATTGCTTGAGAAAGGAAAGTAAGGACGCTAACTACAGCTGAGCCACAAAACAGTCAAATCACACCACTCACTGAGAATGTGGATAACTAGCTCTAGTAGCATAGTGGTTACGAATTGGGCTGCGAAACTTAAGGTCAGCAATTCAAAACTACCAGCTGCTCCGTGGGAGAAAGATGAGGCCTTCTGCTCCCGTAAAGATTTACAGCCTCAGAAACCCTGTACAGGGTCGCTATGGGTTGGAACTGACACGACAGCACTTAACAACAACAACTTTTGGTTAAGTGCCATCAAGTTAGTTCCGACTCACAGTGACCCTGTATAGGGTTTCTGAGTAACAGTGGTGAATTTGCGGTTCAGTGCTTATCCCACAACGCCACACCAAGCAGTTAATAAGAAGAGACACCAGGGGAAACTAGAAAGCATTCAGGGATCTCGTTCTGCCCTCCCCCAACTAAAGAATCAGAAAACCTTCAGTTATGAGGTAATGGTTAAAAAAAAAAAGAGGGCGAGATGGAGTTTTCAAGAAAGTCAAAAGAAAACCATAGAAACAATACAAAGAAAGTTATATAAACATTTTATTTTAAATCATAGAAAGGCAGAAAAAAGTTAAATAAAAGACTATACCTATGCCAGAAAGAATGGAAGAATGCATGTGTTTTGGGGTCTAAAAGTAAATAACAAAGGCAAGAAATAGTGGAAATTCCGTTAAAGATTTTTATTTGATATGATTAAGGTTATTACTTGTTTGCAACTAAAGTTTATTAGGTTAATGAAAATCTTTAGAAGCTTTAATGTCAAATAGCATATAAAGCAAAGAATTAGGTTTCTTACTGGCAACAGAATTTTTTAGAGATGCACAGTGAAGTATTTAGGGGTAAAATGTTGTAATCTTTATGTTGTTGTTTTGTTCTTAAGACCCATAGTGACCATGTATAGAGTTTCTGAGGAGCAGCTGATGAGCTTGAACTGCCAATCTTGTGGTTCAAATCAACTTTGCAGTCCACTGCATTAACCTGAAGTGCCACACCAGGACTCCATAACGTCATTACAATTTACTTTAAAGTACATATTTTCTCCCCTTAAAAAAAATAAAAATAAAAAAATAAATAAAAATGTTATCAACTGTTAAGTCTAGATGGTGTATATATGTATTTCTAATTTCAAATTAATTTGAAATATTGAAAAAAAATGTTTTTAAATAAGGAAGAGAAAAAAACCTCCAATTGTTTTTAACAATGTTCAAAAATCATGGTTTTACTAAGAGTTAATTTACAATTCTTTATCTCTAGAGGTCAGTATTGCATAAGAGTAAAAACTACATTTCAGTAGATACTAAGCAAAATAATTTTAGGTAAGAATTAGTCTTTAAATCTGAAAAAAACTTATTTAATATAATATAAATTCAATGCATTCAGTCATAACACTAATATGGACACAATTATACAAGCACCTTAAAAACATAGTAATACTTAGATAAATACAAATCATTGATGATGAGGTAACATTGATGAGGTAAAACACCAGCTACAGATGATGCTATTATCACGAAGATATGATCAAAGCCCAACAAGAAATAAAAACTTGGTACTGGAGTTTCAACATTAAAGTATCTAACACAATACACAATTTATATACAAGATAACCAACAAGGTTAGTTGGTTACCTTGAAACCAATGTAAGAAGTATAAAAGAACTTTACTGAAACACATTACTGTTTAATAAAATAGAACCTGAACATAGGCTTCAAGGGCATCACCAAGCAAAATTCCAAATACTTCTCAGGGCAAAATGATGTAGTAAAATAAGAACTGAACCTTCAAGGCCAAAAATGTGAATGTAAACCTCGAGGACAGTATTATTTCATTCTATGCTGCAACGCTACAGATGACAATAATGATTATGACAGCTGTCATTTATGGAGCACATATGATGTGTAGAACACTGGTGTAGTATTTCAATTAGTCATATTAAATAGGTACTCACACTTCTAAGATGAGAAAACTACCACAGGTTTAGAATAACCCTTGGCTA